GGTTGTGCGTGAAAATCCCAGTAGATCAGCAGTTTCTGAAATACTCAGACCAGCCCTTCTGGCAGCAACAATCATGCCACGTTCAAAGTCACTCAAATCACCTTTCTTCCCCATACTGATGCTCGGTTTGAACTGCAGGAGATTGTCTTGATCATGTCTACATGCCTAAATGCACTGAGTCGCCACCATGTGATTGGCTGCTTAGAAATTAAGTGTTAACGAGCAGTTGGACGGGTGTACCTAATAAAGTGGCCAGCGAATGTATGTATTGGTTATTATATAGCAGACCAGTTTACCAACATGTCTAAAAATGACCAACATTGGCCTATACCAATGTTAATGTAGATATATTCTGCCTCACTAATAATAATGGTAGGAATTAGGGCTGAGGAGACAAGTTAAGGTCATCAATGTTACCAGCATCATTGATTACAAAAACACTAAGATTAGCATTCATTACAAAAATGTTTTTTGTAATGTGTAATGTTGAGAGCATAACTTGATCTTAAACGCTACAAAGAAGCTGTAAAGGGCATGGAGTGCTTATAACCTTTGCAAAGCTCAGCTTTGATGCTCATCTTCAGTTCTTAATTATGTACTCACAGTTAATTAACAAGAACAACCTGATACCTTTGATGGATATTCATTAATCACCTGGAGTTTTACTATTTCAAACATCTGAAAGTGATGATCAATGCTAACTTTGGGAGGTCTGACTCGGATTCTTAAAAGATCAGAGCTGTTCATAACTGCTGTCTGTCAAAAGTGGAGGGCAGATTAGCTAATTCTATGGCAGCAGGTGTTTCTACAGCAGCACCAGGTGTTTATTTGTTTGTCTTTTTAAGACTTTGGCATGGTGATGCTGCAATTAATCTCCCAAGAGGAGAAAGAAAGAAAGAAAGAAAGAAAGAAAGAAAGAAAGAAATAAAGAAAGAAAGAAAGAAAGAAAGAAAGAAAGATTTCCTTTAAATTGACAATTGTCCTTAACTTTGTCACTGAAATCACACTAAATACACAGAAGTTTGGTTTATGTATAAGGTTTGCGATACTCTTTGAGTTTGAAAAACTCATGTACAAAAACAAACCTGCACCAGATTAGGATTTATTCCCATATTAGGCCTTTCCCTTGAATTCTACTGTTTTCATTAACTGCATCTAAGCCTCAATCCTAATTCCAAGGCTCATTTATCTTCAGAAGGTTAGAGAACACCACCCACAGAAGAAGCTCCTATATAGGCAGCATAAACAAGGACACAACACACACACATGCTGTGCAGATAAAAAGTCACCTTTAAAAATGCTGGTGCAGGTGCAGAGAAAAGGAAAAGCATTTCATCATTTCCTGCTTGTGAGTCCTGAGACACAAAAACAAGGAAAAGGGAACTTGGGCACAGTCCAGTGTGTTTTCCTTTAGTCTCCGTTTGCACACAGCCTCCGTCTGACTCTGCAGGCCTACTGAAGCGTAAAGAGTCACCCCGCTCCACCCAGGACACCTCAATATGTCACTTCTATCGGCCGTCAAGCTTCGCTTTAAATGCTTGCATTTCTATTCTTAATCTGTAACTATATCATTTTAAACCTACTTCTTATACATGCAGAGGAGAAACAAATGGGTTTAATGACAGGCAGGTGAGTTTAAATAGTGGGAACTAATGCATCACTTAAAAATGTGTATCTGTACAGAATTCAGCTTGTGATCTTTGAACACAAGCAACTTCCTACATCTTTGCTTTTAATTTGTTGCTGTGGCAACACTTAACCCACAATCATGCTAGTTTTAAACCCCTGGCAGATATAAAGTAAAATAAATTTTTTTTTATTTTTTGCTTTTTTTTTTAAATAAACATTTCTATTAGCTATTTTTCAGGTTTTTAGAGTGTATCCTTTAGCTTAAAGCATTCAATGCAGGCAGCAGGGCTTGCTTCGCAGACAGGCAACATAGGCAGCTGCATGGGGAGCCATCTACTGGATAGGGCACAAATTTGCAGAATAAAGAAAAAATTATTAATTGTGCATTATCAAATACATTTTTTTTAAATACTCGAGATTAGCCTCGAAAAGACATCAAAATAAAGCCTCAATATTTAACTTCCTTGCAATGATATGACTGTATGACCTGTTCCTATTATGGCGCTTGTTTTGACAGTGATGTTTGACATAGATGACGGGATAAGTACTGTGGAAGAATGTCGGGCCCTTCCTTGATGTGTTACACTTTTCAATGATTGCAAGTAAAAGAACATCAAAGCATCAGCAGCAGCTTATGAAAGTGAAGGAGAGAAGAGGAAGGAAAAAAAAGGACCAAAGCAGAGGTATGTAGACTATAAACACTTATAGCAAAAAAAAGTAACAGCAACAATGTTATTACAATTTGCTGTATGGTAGCTGTTGCCGAGCTGAATGCGCACTTTCATCTGGTTTGGTCTGCCGCGGTTTCCGTAGCGTCGTGAACTCGCAGGCGCGCGCTTTCAGGAAATCCTATACACTACTGTTTATGCTCTAAAAACATTCTAAATGACTTCGTTTCGAGTAAATTCTGGATGCTACCCACTCAGGACACTTGGAATACATTGGACGAGCAGTATGGAGGAATATTGACACGTTTTTTGTGGACTTTTATGGACCTTTCTGCCTCAGGCACCATAGACCTCCATTATTTGAATGTCAGCAGACAGCAAGAAGCCTCCCAGATCTCCAGATGCATTTGAGAAATCAAAAAAGTACTCCAGAGTGTTGTTCAGCATGGGGGTGAGTAGAAAATGAAGGCTAATCATGTTTTGGGTGTACTATTCCTTTAAGGAACTTTGCTTAGGGACCCAGAGTGGCAGTCTGTGGGAATGGGGCTCCGACTCAGAACCTCAGGATTCCAAGCTCTATGCCATAACCACTATAGCCGCCACTGCCCATGGACCTCAATGTCTGTCGTTATTTCCTGTTACCCATAATTCCAAGTCTTCTTTTAAGAACTTTATTGCGGATTGAAACATATGAGTGTATGTTTTACCAATCGTCTAATGAACTATACGCAGTTATTAACACAGTAATTAAAAGTACCACTGTCTGCTTTGCTATTCATCATGCCCCATCATGTTGAAATCTGGCATGTGTTGTGGTATAAATACGGTGGGGTCAGCCACTTCAGTATCAGGTGGGTGTAAGAGGAATTATTTACACAATTACGACTGCAAAGAGACATCCTAGTCTACAGTTGCGTAGGGGGCCCACCAAGTGTCAATGATGGGGTCACTAAAGGCCAATATATGCTTCTGACACATAGCCTCAGCACTGTCAAGGCGTGACCACGCCCCCTGCACAGAGGTTCTGCAACCCTCTTTGTGCACCTCAAAAAAACCCTGACTACGCAGCGGACTGTAGCAAATCCGCGCAGACCTCAAGCGGAAGTGCACAGACAAAAAGCAGCTGTGATTGGTCCTTGGTATGCCTTTCCAGGTGTCTGTGTGGTCGTCCTTCTCGATTCGGTGCCGGGGCGCCCCATTTTCAAAAACCAAGGAACAACTACAATGGACAATTACAGCGAAAGGTTAATTGGTCTTTTTGCCAACTCCATTAACAGAACCTATTACTCTTCTATGTCTAGCAACTCTAGATCCATCCCTGTGACCGTGATATCTTGCAGGTGCAGCATTGTTGTTTTGGAAAATAAACACTCCCGCCAGCACCGGAGTTCTCGTGACCATCCGCCAAAGTTCTCGCGAGTTCTCGAATAGGCTCCCCATTGTGCTTTGGCGGGAAACTGCTGTGCGTCCCTAGAAATTCCAGACCAATGGTGCAGAAGGATACCAGCAAAACTGGTTCGCGACCGTACCCAAGCGACATTTGATGTGTGCGGTTGCAGAAGTCTAATCTGTCCTTAATAGGTCAAGGGCCTATAAGCAACTGCTGTCTCTGCTTACCGATATTTATTCCATAGGATAAACGGGTATAGACTATGGGTATGATGACAGAACACCAGCCCTGCCCTGGTAGGCAGAGTAGAAGACTAAATTTATTTATATGTTGAGTTTTCTTGCTGTAATGTTTTACATTATTGCTTTCTTTAAATGTACAAATAGAATTGTTGGAATTTCTACTAAAATTACATAGCAGGAAACAACATTCTGATTATTTTTGAAGCAGAACTAAGAAGAAACATAGAAATCCTCTATTTTTACCCTTTGTATAGAAACCTAGGTTAACTTTTTTTTAAATAAACAAACTCTGATATGTTTAATAAAAAATATTAGTTGATTTTTTTTCTCGTCTTTTTGTTGAAAACCTAAAACTCTTTGGGTCAAACATCCATTACAAGGACTGCTGAGTAATGTCAACCCAAGACCAAATCATGCGAATTGTCTTTGCTTAGATTTTCCCCTTAAAATGAACCAAATGCCAACATAGCTGAGCTTTTTAAGCTTCTCTATCTGTCTCCCAGTATAAATATATATATATATGTGTGTGAGAGAGAGAGGGAGAGCGCAGAGCGAGACAGCCATGTTCTCCCAGCCTCCTCGAGCCAGTAACCATGACAACGTGATGGCTGGGAGACACGGTTAAAGCTCTATTGAGGCCGGTGTCTTTCCTCTAAATAGACCCTGGTTGTGTTTCAACGGCGACTTGTCCTCCTAAAAGAGGAGAGGAAACGCTTTTCTTCCCCTCCTCTCCTCCGGGTGAGAGGGTGAGGAGGTGAGGAGGGGGAGAAATCACACAAACACCTCGATTAAATCCCACGGCCCGAGCGCTACACTACATTTATCCCCGTTTGGAGTTAGCCTACATTTCATTAGCCTGTGTCCGGTGAGAGTCTGCTTTATTCCGCCACAGAGCAGGAAACGCAGGGGATGCCAAACCAAAGCCTCCATTCCAATGCACTTTTTTTTTTTTTTTTTGGTTTTAAAATGAAACATCCTACCCGATCCAGCAGTAAATCACCGGTTAATAGAGACACAAACAGACGCAGCGGCTGTAGCTCAAACTGAACAGAGCAGTCTATCCTCACTCACCGGGGAAAAATGCGTCCTGTCAGGAACTGGAAGTGAAGGACTCCTCGTCCGCTTCTCTACATGCACACCGGGTAATAACTCTGACAGACGGGCTCTTATTCTCCCTCCTCCTCCTCCTCCTCCTCGCGGTGTGAGTCTCGCGCCTCCGCTCCGGCTGGCAGGCAGGGGCACGCGGGCGGTCCTGGCGGCCGATGATGACTGGCTGCAGGGACGTCCTCCCCGTCTCCTCCTCTCCGTGGAACCTCCGCGTTTTATGAGTGGGGGGGGGGAATTGTATATTTGCTCCACGGGCTACTCAGGATCACCGTCAGCTCCCTCGGTGTCCCCGCTGACGTCCGACAGATCAGCATACCATCATCAATCGTGTTTACGCACGTGTCCGTCCCTCCTCTGTCACTTTGTGATCACACCATGAAATCGTGGGTTTCAATATGTGTTGGAATATTTGTCTCACTATTCATTGACACTTATGGGAATAAACAATGCAGGGAAAAAAAACTGCAAAGATGATTTACAGGGAGTGATCTAGTGCTATCCAAGGTCTAAAGTCCTGCAGCTGTCATGTTCTGGATGCTGCATTGGTCATGCTGGGGTTGGTTTGAACAGGAACTTGATTTCTGTGAAGAGAAAACATGACCTTTGCAACAGTAGATAAAGTCTGCATTCTGTTGTTTGACAGTAATGACTCTAAACATGTGACGTACTCAAATGATAAAATAATTAAAATGGATTCTATCCTTTCGCTTTCTTTCTCTTATCCTTACAGCCTTGATCATTTAATGTTGCAGGGATTAACACACCTTGTGATAAATGGATTCGGTACCACAAAAATGGTCTTGATACCATTCATTAGGTTTGAAGACTTTTAGTGAGATTAGGGAGCCAAATAATTGCATTTGTGATATAATGTCAATTTAACAAAACATAATTTCTAAATCTCAGAGGCACTCAGTTTGACAGATATTTAATGAGAGTATGACACTAAATGTATTCCTCCAGCCCTTTAGCTGTCAGTAGAACACTTTAAGTATAATGACTCAGAACAAAGGGTCTCAGAATGCAGGCAAGACAGACAGTGGAATAACTTAAAAAGCTTTTATTCAAAACCACGAGCTGATCTGCGGTATCAGCGGCTAGGGCAGGAACATCTATAGGTGAGAAACACAGGTTAGTGACCACGCTAATCAGAAGGAGGATGATTATGAACGCGTGAGTCACTAACCTGGTTTGACAGTTCAGTTCGTGCCCAGAGAATGAGGATTATTCCAGCTGTTCGGCTAATAGAGTTTCAGACGTGGAAGCCTAGAAGGCTGCAGAGCTGACAGATCGGATCCAAGCAGACAAAGGAAGGCAGGATAATCCAGGTCCAGCAGATGTCTGAAGACAGGTCAGGCAAACAGATCAAACAGGGTCAGGCAGGCTCAAAGGTCGGAATACAAAACAGTTCAGGATTGGACAATCAGAACACAATGACTTACTAGAAAAACTCCCCCCAAAAGGCTCAAGAACAACTTGGCAATGGTGGCTGGGACCAGGGAGTTTAAATAGAAGCAGGATCAGATGGATCAGATGAGCAGTGATAAGAAACAGGGCAGAGCTAGACAGGTGAATGACATGAGCAATCAAGCCAGCCATCAGCACCAAGATCATGAGATCAAGTGGGTTTACAGCCACAGAGAAGGGAAGGGAGAGTTGCAGTTAAAGCATGCGGATCCTTGCATGATAGTAGAAGTAAGAACCTTTTCACCGAAAAGTTACAGTATTGAAATAACAGACTCTGGATCAGCAAGGTTCAAGGTCATGGAAAACTTCTGCTTAGTGTGAGAGGAAAATCACATGAAAAATCACAACATTGGCGAAAATAATCACAATTTAGATTCTTGGCTAAATATTTTAGCCCTAATGAAAGTGGCTGGAGTTTTCACCAGATGTTGGGTCCAGCACTGCCCCTCCTCCCCCTTTTTGCTGTTTATACTTTAATGGAATTTGACAGAGTATGAATAGCTTTTGTTCTTGCAATCACGTTCAGATTTTTGACTATACTCTTCTTTTGTTCAGTCCAGTTCCCTTCCCCCATCATGCATTTTACAGTTTCCACCCCAGCATTTCTTCCATCATTACCACTCTAAGTAATGTCCACTTATCAGATCCATTACTGTTTCCTATTAATGTAGAGTTTATGTATGGATGAAATTCTGTTAGTCACACTCTTTGTTTGTCTTATATAGATTTTATTCACTCATCCCTCAGTTTGTTTTTTGAAAAAGATAAATGCTGATTTAGCTTATTGCACTTATTTTTTCCTCATCCCATTTTTCTTATGTCACTCTATAAAGTGTCTTTTAAATCTAGCCATACATCTGAAATGTTTGCATATTTTGTTACGTTCACAACCAAAACATTGTATGTTTTAATTGGGTTTTACATAATAAAGCATGTAAACTAGCTAATATAATTCAACTAAAATGGAAAGATGCATGGTTTACAATTGGTTGGGTAGAACACCAAATAAGTTACAATCCACAGCTCATACAGAACAATACTGTAGGAAAAGCAGTATACTGTTTAGTTTGGTACATTTATATAGCACGAATTCAAAACATCTTTTTTGGAGTACTTTACAGAGATTTATCAACCAGATTATCCAAGCAGATTGGTTAAATGCTTTCTATCTAAGGAAACCCAAGTGAGTGCATTGGGTCATTGATTTTGCAGGATTTGCTACTCCGGGATGAACTAGATATTTGATTGAATTGTGTCATTGTCTCTGCAGCAATCCTTCATACTAAGCATGCATGCAGTGACAGTGGAGAGGAGAAAAAAACACCCTTTCAACAGAAAAAAACTACAGCAGAACCAGGCTCAGCACAGCAGCCTTCTGCAGAGATGGCAGAAGCAGACACAAAAAAGTCACATAGAAGCACTGGTCCTTAAATACATTCTATATTAGAAAAGGTAATGGTAAACTAGTTCCACAGGTGGTTCTGTCAAGGGAAAAAAAAATAAACAGCTAAGAGGACAGACTCTGATCCAGTTTTTATGTCAAAATGTATGAAAGAGAGCTGGGGTAAAAGCTGAGTCCATAGCTACATCTACAAGAGAAACAGGTCTAAACACTAAAAGCAGACCTAACTTTATCATCTATGATTTAAGTTGTTGATGGCAGCAGCCCAGCTGATATTTCTCTCCAGGATGGTGTCACACACTGCATGAAAAGTGGGATTTTCGTCAATATACGGCACTGTAGATTGTCGTGGAACTTCAGGTTAGCGGCAGTTTACGGCAATTTGCAGGCTTCGCCGAAAACTCCCGTAAATTGTCAGAAATTGACGTGGAATTTCTTAGGCAGTGTTCCCCCCATGCCTCCTCCCCATGGAATTCTAGGGGAGGCTTTAACATGTAAATGAACATGCTGTGAGCTATACAAATGCAAACCAGGGTTGCAGGGGGGGTTTTACCCCAAGTGACATCTTTCTGGGTAAGAAAATCTCTGATACAAAGAGATCAGGTATAGCCTCTTACATTTTAGCTTGAATTGATTTATTTAATTAAAGTATAGAGACCAAAACAGATCTTTAGCTGACAGAGCAATACATTTAGAGCAGTAATTATTTTTTTTTAAATTTGCATTTAAGATAAAAAATAAAATGTTGTCTGTCAATATGCTCAATTCACAATTACTTAAGTGGAAAAGTTTCAAGAAATGATTCTGAGATGATTCACTTTATAACATGGCGCATTATCCTGTTTGAAGTAGCCATCAGAAGATTGGTACACTGTGGTCATAAGGACATAGGTCAGCATGCTAAATTGGTATTAAGTGGCCCAAAGTATGGCAATAAATATCCCCCAAATAGATGGTAGAAATAGATCAGGCTCAGTATAGCCTAATTATAGACTCTTACATTTTAGCTTGAATTGATTTATTTAATTAAAGTACGCTAGATTACTGTGTATGCAAATGTTATGTAAAAAAAAATACACAAAATAATTTACTTCAAAAATTAGTTTTACTCAGAATCAGTTGGCTGTAATGGTTAATTTTTTTTTTTAGATTTCCACTTTTTTTTTTGTTTTTTTTGTTATTGAATATATAAGAAAACAATAACAATCTCAAATAACAAGTCAATAACAAATATTTCAATACAAGAAGAAATATCACAACTCCTGCTTTTGAAAAATAAAATTAAATGCACAGGCTGGAACAAAGTATAAAATAAAATAAAATAAAATAAATAAAAATAAATAAAATAATAATAGTAGTTAAAGTAAATCAATCAGTGGGGACTACCAACTGAAATTCTTCAATTAACTCAAACAATTTAATTGCATTTAAATTCTGCATCTTTCTCAGACATCTTTTGAAAAGGGAAAGTTCATTTTTGAGAGCAGAGATTGAGAGGGAGCATTTTGCATAGCGACATTTATGGATATAATACTTTGTTACAATTATTAGAATATTGATTAAAAATTCAAATTTTTTTTTCTTTAATGGATAAACCGAATTGAATGTTTTGCCAGGAAATAAAATCTAAATTTATTGTTTTAGAAGACAGAAAGATTCGAAGTTGATCCCATAAGTTTAATACTTCTTTACATTCATAAAAAAGATGTTTAGTTGTTTCCAATTGAGTTGTACAAAAGCCACAATTCTCAACATTAAACTTAAATCTCTCTCTTAAAAACTCATTTGAAGGATATATGTTATTTATTATTTTAAATTGTAATTCTTTATATTTAGGAGGAATTGGGAATTTCAAATAATTTGTCCTAATTTTGACTATCATAGATTTCTTAAAATTTTGTAAGAGAGCTGTGCTTTTTGTTCTTCCTGGGTACATATTATTTATAGAATATTGATTCAAAAACTTGTTGTTGCATTTATTATCTCTAATGTCCACCTGCTCAAATTCAATCTTATGGAGACAAACAATTGCAATTGCAAACAATTTATAGGTGCATTACCGCCACCTTCCAGAATGGAGCGACGCGAGCTCTTCTCGCGAGTCCTTCCGTATAACAATGACGTCGTATGTGATTGGAGGAGCCTGGTGAGCCTTCGGCCCCATCGTCCAATCACGTGTGAGCTTTTGTGCACTTCGACTACTCGCGAGACCAGCATATTAGCAGACATGTTTGTGTTACTATACTCAGAAGAACTTCATCTCCAGTTACCGTGTTTGTATTTTGTTGTTACGTGAACAATGGCTGCACGACGTCTCGCGTTCAACTCGCCTCCAACTGCTCTTAGTCCACAACTTTCGGCCAGCCCGCAGACTGACGAGAAGAAACTGCTGATTGCTCTCAGCGGACTGTCTCGTCAGCTTGCCCAACATACTGCCGACATGAATGACCGCCTCACTCAGCTGAAGAATTCGATGCACTCCAGGTTGCAGTCCATAGAGGACAAGATGGCGGCTCTGCAGTCGAGCAACTTTGCGGGATATACGAACTCGAGGAAGAGAAGACGGGTGCACAACGCCATGCTAGCGGTAAATATATGTTCGATTACTGGTAGCTATGCTAAAAGCAGCCTAGCTTAGCTAGGCAAGCTAAAGACAACCTAGCCTAGCTAGGTAAGCTAAAAGCACCCTAGCCTAAAGCTTTATTAAAGTGTATTTTTTGTGATTCACAGGAAGCATTATGCCGTCTTCACAACTCGGAGACTAATTGCAGGCGCTATGAGCCGGAGCAGGGGTAAGGTTTAAAGAATATGCTTTCCTTCTGCGGTAAAAGGACATGGATACGGATAAATACCGACCATAGCTGTACTTTTTTTTTTTTTCACAGACTACAGTCGCCTCACAATGACCCCTTGCTCACACTGGCTCCGGTGCAGTTACCGAGCCGACGGAGACCGCAACTCCCGCACACCCCCTCTCACACCGCCCTTTTGACTACGGTGCGGTGCGGCTCTGCAGCTCCGGCAACAGGTCCGGAGATTTAACAGAAGTTCACTTGAGTTCACGTAACTTCACGCGATAACACGGCCCAAATAAAGGATTTTTGCGAGAGCTTGTTGAGGAGGGCTCCGGCACGCCGCAAGGATAGCTTTCTTGCGGAATTTTCTGCAGCGCCGGAGTGTCTCGGTAACCGCAGCCGGACAGCTCAGCAGCCGGTGAGAGAGGTTTACGTCTTTTGAATGACTTGGAATCACTGCAGCGCCGCACCCACCGCACCGCAACGGTAAGACCGGAGTCGGTGTGAGCCTGGGGTGAGGCGGTGACCTCCTATTTGCCGTCTCGGCAAGTCCAGATTTGCACGATGTTGATAAAGACGACATTGTGTGTAAGTGACTTGTTTTAATGTTTTCTCCTTCCTTGTTACTGTGACTTGCGTTTGATTTTTTTTTTTATTCAT